AAAACAAATATTTAAACATTTATCGCAAATCTAATCACAATACTTATCAGAGAAATTGTAATTTTATTTTTCCCCCAAATCATGCAGCCCTGACTGACTTCTGAGCAATCTTTTTGACTCTTTAAGTATTACAGATTTGCCTTACATACCTGAAGTGATGTTTTGTTTCATTCATGCACATTTGAGCAATTCTGTAAATCTAATCTGGCTCACATTTCGGCTCTCAAAACGTGCAAATCCGTTTTGTATTGTATTGTAAAGCTCCTCCGTGTTTTGTTTTTATTACTTGATACTCAAAGAAATGCCTTAGTTAGAAACCTGATTTGACCTGTTCAGTGCATCTTAGTTCAAGGTGGACAAATGTAGTTTAGAACTGTTCAGAAGCCAGTAAAAGGTTAAATATGGGACAATATAATGTGCTCCAAAAATAACACGTATACTTCTGAGCAATGCCAACTAGGCCTGCCCTGATAATTACTATAATTACTAATTACTTATAAACTATACTGATTTATCATTCAGTACATATTAGATGGAACGATAATTTTGGAGGTCAATATTTATCATGTGTACCTTTCTTTGTACTAGTGAGGGACTTTTTGTTATTTTTCCTGTCCTACAATTAGATTTGAACTACACTACACTACACGTCATTAGATAGATTTAATTCTGCTGTTTATTTATTGCATTTTGGGGATAATTCTACTTTTTATTCACTATTATGCTACTATATGTCAGTGGCATAAATTAGTTTTAATATTATTGTTATTAGGGATGCAACAATAACCAAAATATCGTGATATTGTATTGTCAAAAGTCTCAAAATAATACTGTAGGCTGTCACAATATATCAAATCACAAGTTCCTTTGCTTAAATGCATTGTTTTATAGTAGCAACAGCTTATAAACATCGGGAACTACATAGCCCATGATTCACTTCAGCGCAGACAACATGAAGAAATATGTTTTTTTTACTTGAATTCTTGCAATTATGACAGTAAGAATTCACACTAAAATATTGTCAGGGTATTTTTAAAAGCAAAAAAATAAAAAAAATTAAATCATCCATCCATCCATCCATTTTCTTCCGCTTATCCAGGGTCGGGTCGCGGGGGCAACAGTCTGAGGAGGCCTCCCAGACTTCCCTCTCCACACACAAGTCCTCCAGCTCTTCCAGGGGGATCCCAAGACTTTCCCAGGCCAGCCGAGAGACATAGTCCCTCCAGCCTGTCCTGGGTCTTCCCCGGGGTCTCCTCCCAGTGGGAGGGAGGCGTCCAGGAGGCATCTGAAACAGATGCCCGAGCCACATCAGCTGGCTCCTCTCAACGTGGAGGAGCAGCGGCTCTACTCCGGGCTCCTCCCGTGTGACTGAGCTCCTCACCCTATCTCTGAGGGAGCGCCCAGCCACCCTGCGGAGGAAACTCATTTCGACCACTTGTATCCGCAATCTTGTCCTTTTGGTCACTACCCAGAGCTCATGACCATAGGTGAGAGTAGGAACGTAGATTGACCGGTAAATCGAGAGCTTCGCCTTTCGACTCAGCTCCCTCTTCACCACAACGGTCCGATACAGCGACCGCATCACTGCACCGATCTGCCTGTCAATCTCACGCTCCATCCTCCCCTCACTCGTGAACAAGACCCCGAGATACTTGAACTCCTCCACTTGAGGCAGGGACTCTCCACCCACCGGGAGAGGGCAAGCCACCTCTTTCCGGTCGAGGACCATGGCCTCGGATTTGGAGGAGCTGATCTTCATCCCAGCCGCTTCACACTCGGCTGCAAACCGCCCCAGTGCATGTTGAAGGTCCTGGTTTGATGAAGCCATCAGGACAACATCATCTGCGAACAGCAGAGATGAGATCCTGTGGTCCCCAAACCGGACCCTAAAAATTAAATCAGCCTCTCCAAAATTTCGCAATAAATATCGTACCATGAGATGCATATCATGACAATATTGTACTGACAGATTTGGATATCATTACATCTCTAATTGTTATACATCTCTACATTTACTTAAGCAATGTGTAGTACTGCAAAATTTGTCATCGTGACCTAATGCCTGGCTCGCAGTGACTTCACAGTAAACCAACCAAAGACCAAACGAATAAAATTATGAAAACACACTGGATAAACGAGACAAGCAAACGATTCACAGTTCACGTTCATTGATAGCCAAGTAAGCTTTTCAATCTTTAATGACAGCAACCTTTGGAAAACACAAAAGATGTATTGGAGAAGTTGTGATTCTACCCTTTTCAAAAATCTATAAATTTGACACCTGAAGATGAATAGTGTTTTGCCAATGAATAGCTGACCTGGACACTGGGATGACGGATTACAAATAGGATGCTTACACTGGACTGTCACTGCTGATAATGGAAAGGTTGAGACAAAATGCAATTCAACAAAATAAATAAACTGAGAAGACTGGTCACAAATCGTTGTATACAATTCACAGTCAGCAAAAAGAACTAATATTATAAAAAGGTATTGTCCCACGTGTTCAGGTGTTTAGAGACATTCTGGTCCATGAAACATTTACATAATAATGCTTATCTTACATACAGTTGGTCTACTACTAATCGACTTTCTTTAGTGCATTGTTTAGCTTTTCTTTTCTAGTGGAAGGTCCGTCAAATGCTTTTCTCCCTGGAGGTGTTATTGCTTTGCCTGAAATGTTTCACAGTATGGCAATAAAGCTTTCTATCTTCATAGAGACCAAACCAGACCAAGTTACAGGTCAGCTATTTTGAGAGGCATCCCTGGTCACAGTAAGAATACCTGTTTGTCTATTTTTGAGCTATAAAACTATCTGTAATTGAATAAATATAAGGTAGAGGTGTTTAATGTTATACTGTGGAACATTCCAGGCAGAGCAATGGCATATCCATAGAAACAAGCAGGTAACGGACCCCCAACCAGAAAGTTACACAACGCACCTTTAACTCACTTATTAATAAATATTTAGGCTGAATAATTTGTGAAAAACATGTAATGGCAACTTTTTCAAAATTGACAAAAAGATTCAAATATGAACTGACAAACTAATACAAGAATCACATTTCAAATCTCGCTTGAACAGATCTAAACTACAGGGTCAGCAGTTTTTTAAGCAGTATACAACAGGAGATTTTGTTGTTTCTGGAGGACATTATGGTATTTTAGAAATTGCAGCCTCTGCAATTTGCTCATTTTGTCCATTCAAAGTCCAATTTCAGTACAATTCTTATTCATTTTGCAGCCCTAATAAAGTTTACAGCAAACTGAGTACACACCTGAAAAGAGCTGCAGTGTTGGAGATACTTGAATTTCTTGGATCATTGCTGTTGGTGATATTTATGCAACTATTGTATTATACTATTATTCTCAGCTAGCTGAGCTAGCGTAACTTATATCAGATTGTTATGGGTTAGTGTTGTAGCCTGCCATAACCTTTTGGATTCCATACCATAGGGCAAAATTAATTAAAGCGTCATCAAGCAAATTTTTACTGGAAATTTCTATATATTTTCTGCTAACATCTCTAGTATTTGCAGAATCACTACTAGGCTGTGATGCTGGGTTTGGGTTGGGCCTGCGCTAACATTTTGGATTCAATTAGGTTATATCATTTTAGGCTAACAATGTCTATTATATGAAAAATAAATAAAAACTCAATATTAGACAATGCCATAGACTGTATATAAATGGACACAGCTAACCCGCTGTGATCCAAACAGGAAGTCAACATGCACAAGCTTCCAGCTCCATCAACTCTGGTTCCAGTTCACGTATTAAAAAAAGTCACCCACTTTGTAACTTTTGCCATCAGGCTCCTAAATGTAAGTATTAACCTGTTCTACATGAATGCAGTGTTTTTATTTTGTTGTTTTTTTTTTTTCATATATATGTCCATCTATACAGTCCGTGGACGATGCCTATATTAAATCTACTGTTTTTTTCTCCTGGGCCTACACCCTAGATTTCAGTAAAGTAAACCCTTAAAAAGCACACATGTATTTTTCATGGAGACAGCTGCTTTTACATCAGATGACATCAGCACAAAGAGGTACGCCACACTCATGAAACATTCAGACACAACACTGTGACTGTGGGGGAACTGCATCGACTTGAATTAAAATGCTGTCACTTCAGTCCTCAGCACGCAATCTCTCTGCATAGTCATGTTTTTCTACACGTTTACATATTTTTGTCAACTTTATATCTGTTGTTTGTTCCTTCATCAATTATCTTTAAAAGCATTACAAGACAATAATGAAATATTCGACCTTACAGACTGATAACATTAACGCTACTCACTGCAACTCTAGTGGAGCAATACTGACATCTAGTGGTGATAGAAGGTAAGTGCAGCTATCCAAGAATACAAGATAAATCCATTTTATTATTAGATTAGAATCAATTAGAAAACATATTAACATTTTCACGAACAACTTACCGGTATTAAGTCTTCAAAAAGTCAAAGCTGATTGGTTCAGAGAGACAGCACAATCCATTTATTCAGCCAACCTGAAGGATTGCAACAAGCAAACATAATTAACCATGCATAATCTCATATAAAAGAGCAGAAATTGACATAAACTTAAAGAGTTATATTTTAGTATGCTAAAAGTAGTAGGCCTAGGCCTATATTTTTAGTACGCCCAAACACATAGTCCGTATGTCATCTTTAAGCCTACATAGGCCTGCATTGTAAAAGTAATGCCATGTGTGTCCTGTTATAGCGTGGGACTTTATTTCTAGACTTTTAAACGGGATGGATCAAGTCCTTTTTTCTTTGTTTTTTCACAAAAGCCTGTATTTCTTGGTGAAAAGGGCCAATAGAAGGACAACTTTCTGCGGGCCGTAAATATCAGCGTACAAACATTGTTCCATGTTCTCGTGGAAAAACAGAAATTGGGATCTGAACAGTGAACTTTTGCATTCCGCGCGCTGAGCGCCGCATTGGGGATGGCACAGGCGCACAGCACTTCCGGTGCACGCAGTGCGGAGGAGAGGCGTAGTGGGCGCAGCATCCCGGGATACAAAGAACGCAGCCACAATGGCAGATATCTCTCTGTATCTCACCAACGTCAACGTGTCTGTGACGCGGAACATGGATGGAGAGGAGGTGAGTGACGCTCCTGAGCGCTCTTATCTCGAATGTCGGTGCTGTTGGTTTGTGTTTATGTCCCGGTGCACTGAGAGGATGCCGCCCTGAGCCCTCCACTGCTCCGCTCTGTGCACGTCACTGTCTTTGTGACAGGGACATTCCGCTTTTGTCTCTCTATCAAGTATTATTGTCCTCATGTCTACTTATTCTTGAGTAAAACGTGTTAGCTGCATTTGAACAGACCGAATATATTTAACCGAGATACGATACTGTTTTTCACTTTTACCTTCCAAGGTAGAAAGAATGACCCTATCCTATACCCTATGAAAGCTTATCTTTGAGCCGCAGATATTGGCCATTTGTCATAAAGCTATTAAACTTTGATGAAACAGGAACCAGGTTTAGGGACTGTCATTCAGGCTTCACCAATGGTTAGCTTTTGTCTGACCCTATGTTGTTGTGGTCGCCTCTGAAGAGTTCCAGCCCCAGCCCGGTGAGGGACTTTGAGAGTGTGGAGCTGGGGGAGCTGGAGAGGCCAGAGGAGCACAGCCCCAGGCAAAAGGAGAAGGTTCCTCGAAGGATCATTCACTTCTCCAGCGGTGAGACCATGGAGGAATACAGCACAGATGAGGAGGACGAAGAGGAGGCAGAGAAAAAGGACCTGCTGCCCCAGCCCGCCCCAGTGGTACGTATAGGAGGTCACTTGATTTTCTACATGAAGATTTTAAGTTTTTAAAGTCTGAAGTTTAATGCCATACAGTGAATCATGGCAGACATGGGGATCAGCAAGTTGCAGCTTATCCATTACACATTGCATAAAGCACTTTTAATGAGACTAATTAGTGTATTCATGATGTAATGGCTAAAATCCCATAATATATGTCATTTTTCACAGTTTCACACATTTTGTATGACTAGCCTCTGGTGGCGAGGTCTTTAGTATGCATTTTGACAGATTTATTTTAACCTCATTTAGATGTTCGTTGTTTTGTTTCTTTTCAGTCCAAGATGACGTGGGGACCATATTTCTGGTTTCACATGTGGAGGGCTGCAACTTCCACCATTTCAGGTTTGTTTGACAGTTTGACTTTACAACCTCTTCATGGCGGTACGGTGGCTGAGTGGCTAGCACTCATGCCTCACAGCAAGAAGGTTCTGGGTTCTGGGGTCGCCTGGGCCTTTCTGTGTGGAGTTTGCATGTTTCTCCCCGTGTCTGGATGGGTTTCCTCCGGGCACTCTGGTTTCCCCCATCAACCCAAAACATGCTACAGGTCTCCATAAACAGTTGATAGTCATGGTTAGTTAAAATACAATCAATTCAGTCATTGTGTCCTTAGGCAAGACACTTCGCCCACATTGCCTAGTATGAAAGTGGTGTGTGTGTGAGTGATGGTGGTGGTCGGAGGGACCGATGGCGCCGAGTGGCATGGCAGCCGCGCTTCTGTCAGTGTGCCCCAGGGCAGCTGTGGCTACAATAGTAGCTTACCATCACCAGGGTATAGAGTGAATGAATAACGCTGTATGAATGAATGCTGAATGAATAATGCTGAATAAAGTGTAAAGCGTCTTTGGGGACAGAAAATGTCTGTGAAAGCGCTATATAAATAAAGACTTACTTACTTACTTGCCTCAGTTACCATATCACACACACACCAAACCTTACCCAAAATATAACATTTAATTAGTCAGTAAAAGTTAACCAACCAACCAATAATCAATGTCAGTTTCTTGTGATGATGTCAAAATATTCCACCATTTTCATATTTAATCAATTAATTATTTCACAATAATTAATAGATTAAATAATCAATATATAATTTAATAATAATAACAATAAATTTAAACATGACTATTTTCTTCCAGCGTGTGATTACCTGGGTGAGAGAATGGCCAACCTGTTTGGCATCACATCTGCCAAATATCAATACGCCATTGATGAATACTACAGAATAAAGAAAGAGGTATGTTTTAGTACCTTCGGTTTCACAGTACTGTATATTTTAAGCTTTTCTTAGTACTGTTTGCATGTTTTTCCCTGGGAGGGATTTGAGGTACTCCTGTGGGCCCCATTAACTTAAAATATTCACCGTAGTCCTCAGCAGCTTCTCCAGCTACTGCACTGTGATGAGCCACTATACAGGGCTGAAATATTTTTGATATTTGTGGTTATGTTCAATATTTAACAAACAAGGGGATTGAACAGACACAGACTAGGTTAAAGGCCCTGTATTACTTGTGGGTCATGTTTGAGTAACCATTTATTATCTGTGTGTCTATGTCCAAAGCTCCGAAGCTCAAAATACTCTGTTCCGCCTTGGGTAAAGAATAGCAATTTTATGGGTGAAATTATCCAAATGGTTCTAGTGAAGCTGTATGGAGTTTAAAAACACAGTGGAGAAGTATATGTATTAGCATATGACATCACAAAGTGGAACAGAGAGTTTTCTGTTTGAGAGAAAAACTCAGGGTTTGTGTGTTAATGTGTGAAGGAAACAAAACATAACTCCAGGTATGTTTTTCATGAGGAAACAACATTATAATATAAATTGGAAAATAGCGTCGTATGGGCCCTTTAATTTAGACCTCAATTTTTGCCCTGGCTTCATTAAAAGAATTCATTAAATACCATCACATTTCCCTATGGGGCAATAAAGACTGCCATACCCTTATTTTTTGTCTTATTGTTTTCTTTAATCAGAGAGAAGAGGAGCAGGAGGAGACGCGTCTGTCTGAAGTGGCTGAACGAACCTTCGACCAAACTGAAGAAGACGAAGAGGAGGAGAAAGAACAAACCCCAAAGCCGAGAAGAGAGAGGGACACTTCTGCATCTGACGTGGGCTTTCAGATCGAGAACGAAAACCAAGTTGCCTCAAACACAATCAGAGTCCCGGCTATTGTCACGGCAACCTAACTGGATAGAAATGGACTGCAGCAGTAATGTCGTTATGTCACAGAAGAAGGAGCACTGTTTTATCTCACTAAGCACTATTATGGTTTGTGTAATGGGCGAGATCCACTCACAGTATACAGTAAGGCAGGCTGGTACAACAGTGAAAAAAAGAGGTACAAGTAGCTCATTGTACTGCAAAAGTAATATCTAAGTAAGTTAAAATGACTTAAATTAAGAAGATTTGACTTTATTTGAGTAGATGCAACTTCAACCACAAGTAAAATGATCTACCAGTGGATTAAGTGTGTTTTCAAGCAACATTAGAGTATGTTTCTTTAAGTGCAAGCAGTTATTTTTCTTTTCTTCATTCATATTTTAGGTTAAAAAAAAAAATCTTCATTTCCACTGGTAGATCATTTTACTTACTCTTCAGTTGAATTTTGCTCAGACCATGATCAAACTTTCTTAATTCAAGTAATATTAACTTGGCTAGATTTGAGTTGTTGTGCAATATGACAAAAAATACAGTATAGGCCTATCATATTTTTTTCCTCATACTGATTGATCACAGTTTTCAAATCAGTTGTATTCTGTCTTATGGTGCTTAACAGTGCACCCTCACTCAGGTTCTGAAAGTACATTTTTCCATTCAATTTTCCATAAACTTTCAGAAAAATTCAAAGATTAAGAGTTCAAAGGTTCAAATCACGAGGCTAACCAGCTGCTATTATCCATAATGCGAATGGTTTAAGCCCAGAAAGAATATTTAAAATACAAAATTTGTCCAAATGCTTACTTAGCGGTTTATAACATCTCAGAAACCGATTTTAAATACAAGTATAGGGCTTGTGGTCATTAGTTACCACATAACTGATTAACCCTGAGGAATGTAATATTATTTTCTTTTAGGAATGACATGGGAAATTTACATCTGGAACCGGGGAGTGGGCGTTCACATGAATTTCCTGAACATAAATAATGCAGACTTTTAATCACTTAACCCAAATACATCAAATTCACTTTTCTGAAGTCTGAACTCTGCCCCAAACCACATGTTTTTAGTGACACAAGATTGGCTGTGGACCATAGCATATCATTTAGGATTAGAAATCACTGAACCTCAATCTTTATTAAAATGAGATTAATTGAACTACATTTCAAATGCAACCATCCAGAATAACAATGGCAAAAGATCAATGTTTGCTAATTATGTTTGAGCTGTACTGCAGAGGAGTTGTATACAGTATATTATTGTACCAGCCCAGCCATGTTTTACTGCTTAGTGGAAATTAGGCGAGATCTTAAGGGCATTTTAAACCGTTGTGGCTTTTTCAACATCATAGCAACTGATGGAACTGGCACTTAGTTTTTCTTTGTGTCTTTTTGTAAATGTAACTACTTATTTTCCACAATTTCTGTATGCAAAACGTGATCCTAGGTAATGTTTAAATTACTTAAATGACAATTACTTTATCTTAATTTAAGACGATTTGACTTGTAGGTTAAAAAAAATCTTCTAAAATAAGAAAAAAAAAAAGAAAAAAATTACGGTAAAATACATTTGAATTTCAATTTTACACGTCATATATTCTTAGTTGCACTGTGTAACTTTTCTGGTGGAGGGTCCGCTACTTGTCTCCATGGAAATGTCATTGCTTTGCCTGGAATGTTCCATGGTATGACTTTAAACATTTCCATCTAGCATTTATTCATTACTGGTGCTTCTACTGCTCAAAAATACCACAACACCTTATGTAAATAGAGGCGAATCTCCGCAGATCTGAATTGTAATGTAGCGTAGTGTAGCCAGCTTATACCTCTTGTGATTTAATTTATACTGTGGAACATTCTAGACAAAGCAATACAATTTCCATGAAGACAAGCACGGGACGGACCTAACACTAGAAATGTTACACAGTGCACCTTTACGTTATTAGCCAGTTTTTGCAGTTTATTTTGCCATTTCATCAGTTGCTACGGAGACCTCCCCTGTAATATTCTTATCTGGGGAGAGAGGTTAAAGGTTGCTCTTACGTGCACCAGACACTGTGCCTAAAACTCTACAACAGCCAAGTGGATCATATTTTTGAATAGGTCTTTGTCTTAACACGAAAAGTTCAGTATCTGGATCTGAACAAGTTTACACCTGACTGCACTGTCTACTTAATGTGACCACAACGTTAGTCATTGTATGAGTGGATTAATGTGTGTAGATGATTTGTAGTTGTAATTATAATCAGATGTTGACAACCAATGAATTCCAGTTGAGTTTTGATAGCCTTATTTTGTCTAAAACACTAAATGTTGTGTGATCACGTATGCAAGACTACTGACTTGTAATTGTTCTATAATTGGACAGTTTGACACTTTTCACATCGGTTTGAATGAACTGACAGAGCACTTATGTTTGAATGGGTTTACTGGTATTTTATATTAATGCTTTATTTATACAATGTTTTGTTTAATAAAATATTTCTCTTGATTATTATGGCTTGTATATTTGTCATTGTGAAGATTCCTGGGAGTTCAATACACTTTTTTTCTTCTTTCTTTCTCGTTTTGTAGTAGTTTGTACCACAAAATATTTGGAACAGACTTACATGTTTACAAGGAAAGTAAATGCATCTGTTTCTAATATCAGTTTAAGCGTTATACATTATACGCAAATACTTTGTCTGTTGTTAAACCTTTCGGTGTTCATGGAGATTAAACCAGATCAAGTTACTGGTGAGATCTGTGGAAAGGCAACTCCACTCACAGTCATAATGCCTGTTTTTCTAGGTATTTTTGAGCTATAAAACCACCTGTAATTGAATAAATGTTAAATAGAGCTGTTTAATGCCATACTGTGAAACATTTGAGCAAGAGCAATGACATATCCATAGAAACAAGCTTGTGACGGACCCCAAACTAAAAAGTTACGTAGTGGACCTTTAAGTTAGAATGTACTGCTAAAACTTAAACCTAAATGAGTTAACATTTTTTTAAGAGTATATTATCTTGATGTGAGTGGATTTGACTTGGAAAGTAAAATATCTACCAATGGAACAAGATGGTTTTTTTCTTACAACAATTATCATTAGAGTTATGCATTCTTTTCTCTTATTATAAGTGGAACAAGATGTTATTTTTTCCTATTGTCAGTACAAAAAGTTCCAATGGTAAATAGTTTTCCTTGGCAAGTCATATGTACTCAAGTCAAGATAATGTGTTCTTAATTCATGAAAATTTAACCTAGATATTACTTTTGTCAGTGTGGGAGACAACAGTTCCACAAAAATGCCACCAGATCCCAGTGTTTTCATTTGCTTTGTCATTAAAGGCCAACATCTGACAGCTGAAAAATGAAATAATCATAACAATAATTGATCATGGAACAATATAAGAAACATGATATTTAAAAAAAAGGAAAAAGTTAACGAAATGTATGTACTTATTATGATCTCATCTTGTATTGTTCTTGTGGACCAAATATGATGTCACCTTTTCCAACTCATAGTTCCTAGCTTGCTGTAATATAAACAAAAACAGCTTACCTAATTCTCTCTGTGTCTGGTTCTAAGAGTGACATGTGATTTTGAGCTGTTACAATGATCCAGTGTGGTGCGGTCTCCAGGCAGATGAGGTCACAAACCCACTGGCCTTTCAGCACAAAGATCCCATTCTGAGGTCAGAGGGGGACGCAAATGACACTGGCTACTTCATCCTACGCATGCCCCAGTCTGCCCATCTCAGTACATGGAGAAGGATAGAAGGACACTGTGTGAATGGCTAGAACATGAGAAGGGGATGACATGAGTGAAGAGTTTCTGTTGTTACATATTTAGTTCATTGGAGTTCGATTTACAGTAAAAATGACTAATCAAACTGAAAAATACACTTAGACGCCACAAGAGGGCAGTGTCTGTCTAAAAATTATGCAATGTTCTCTATATTTCCATGCTGTATACTGCCTTTTTTATTATTATTATTTTTTATTTTTTTTTTTTTTCATTTTTTCATACTTAGAGGATGGAACATTCCGGGGAACGCAATGATACCTCCATGGAGACAAGTAGGTAGCAGACTCTCCACCAGAAAGGTTGCGCAGTGCACCTAACTTAACTAGAAGTAAAGCAAACACTACATACATGGGTTAATAACAGGCCTAATACTCAGCCGGTGAACATCTACAGATTTAAGATGGTATTTGCAAACCTACCCACATTTGTACAGTGCATTTTTGGCCACCCACTTATACAAATAAAAAAGTTAATCATAAATTAGACACTAATATTGTTTTAGTTCTACAGAGGGACAGACGCTGACATGATGCTGACTTACTGAAACATATTAGTCACACAGACAGTCCAGGCTGACACAGCTCCTCTATTCAGACTTACAAGCACCACAAAACAGCCCAACAGCGCCATCTGCTGGCTATAATGACAGTTGCCTACTTAAATTGCCTGTATCAGGATTCTCCAATTTGTAGTTCAAGAGCTACCAGTAGCTCTCCACCCCCTTCCAAATAGCTCTCCAAGGGATTTCTGAATTATATATTGCACTGAATAAGTCCAATTTGATTAGTTAAATGCTTATTTCCTATGTAAATGTATAATTTTGATGCCTAATTGTGTGCACTGATAACTGGATAATGGGTTATGTTTCATAGACATCTAACTGTACCTCATTTTCGGCTTACTATGGCTTAGTAGCTCTAGTAAAATAGTAAAATTAGTAGCTCTCTGGCCTTTTCATTTTACAAAAAGTAGCTCACAGAAGGAAAAAGGTTGGAGACCCCTGGCTTACATTATGCAAAATTGTCTGTTGCAAGCTTTAAGTTGTGTCATATTGCTGTTACTTCATCAAAAACAAACCTGGAGTTGTGTTTTGTTTTATTTGTGCATTTTTGACTAATCCTGCATTATTAGTCTGCCTACATCGCCAAAACTCAAAATGCTCTGTTCCACTTTGTCAGGTAGAGACTGGCATTTCCAGGGCTGAAATTATCCAAATGATTCTAGTGAAGGGTTTAAAACACAGTGGAGCACTTCTTGTATTACCGCATGACATCACAAGGTGGAACAAAGTTTCTTATGTTTAAGTTTAAGTTTATGTTTATGTTTAAGTTTTTTAAGTTTTTTATGTTTGAGAGAACTCAGCCTAAATATTTGTGTGTTGAACATGTGAAAATGAAACAAAACAACTCCATGTATGTTTTTAATGGGGAAAAACATTATAAGATACTTCAGAAATAGTGTATATAGGCCCTTTAATGAACTCTATTATCCTGCACTATGTACCAAATCATAATGACTTTATTCCATAATTGTATTCATTTGTTATCAATGTTAATAACCTCTAGAAGGTATTGTGTTTAAACAGTTTTGCTGCCAGATATAGTCACCGCAGTTTCATACTTTTACTTGAGTACCATGTCGTAATATAATGTTCAACTACATGACTCATACATTGGTGAAGTTGAATTCCATGAAGCCCAGTCAAATGGCATCCTGCCCCTTTATAAAGATACATAGACTCTGACTCATGTGTAATTACAGCTGCACCAGATCCAACATTCTCTTAAAATGAGGAGCATGCAGTAACACAGTTGGTACAGCGCTCTCCCCTCACTCGAAGGTCTGCGGTTTGATTCCCATTCTCAGTGTTAGTGCATAGGAACGTGCTGTTGTGTCCCTGGGCAAAAATCTAAATCCACCTTCTTCCCATGTTGGTGTAGTCTTATGAATGTATGTGTGACTATATGAAATCTACAGTCATTTGATCATGTTATCTATTACTGTATAGTAGTGTCGTAGTACTCGATACTGGTCTTGGTCTCGAGACCGGCCTCGAGACCATTTTTTTTTACAGTCTTGGTCTTGTCTCGGACTCGACCGCATTTGGACTCGGTCTTGTCTCGGTCTTGAAGGTGCCTGGACTCGATCTTGTCTCGGTCTTGAAGGTGCCTGGACTCGGTCTTGTCTCGGACTAGAGGTTTGAAACTCGACAATGCAATCATATTTCATTATTGCCACTGCTGTCGACAATTAGGAAAACGGGTTTAAAAATCCTACCCATTTTCTTCACTTTCTTCACAGTTTTGTGTGAAGTGCCAGTGGAAGTTTTCTTAAAGAAGGGGTTTTCAAAGTGTGGGTGAGTGTCCACAAAATGTTCAAAGATAGAATGAAGATAGATTTATAAAAACATTGATATATATGTTCCAAAATACCAGTAAAATACAAATACATGTTGAGAATGACAAAGATAGTCTCGATTTGGTCTCGATGGACCAATGGTCTTGTCTCGACCCTGAAAGGTCTTGGTCTTGTTTCGGTCTCAGGTACCTGTGGTCTTGGACTGGTCTTGGTCTCAATTAGTGCGGTCTTGACTACAACACTACTGTATAGACAAACAAAATTATTCTACAGAGGCCAATATATGCTTCAAAATGTGTTATAAATTTAAATACAAATTTAATAAATCAAATAAAAATATGTTAAGAAAACAATTTTAATATATAAAACCATGCAACCACTAATAATGTTGTCATGATACTAACTTTTCAAACTCAACTTCAATACCAATGACCAAACTTGACACTCACTGCCGATTCTGATAGTCAAATGATCATATTAAAAGTTATTTTTTAAGACAATACTGTAATTTACATCACAAAAATAATAAAATTTGTTTATTATAGCATGTGGTCTTACAGTAAATTTGATAACTCAAGATGAAACTGTTCAGTAAAGGTCAAATTGTACATGATTTTTTAATTTGATTTTTTAGTATCTGCTCAAATGACTATATAGTTTCAATACAAGTGTTAGTATCGATAAACATCTGATTTTAGCTACTTTTGACAGCTCTGTATTGGACAGCATACTAAAAAAAACCTGATTTGATAGTTTGCACAGCTGAAAGGAAACTGCTTCCTGCTGGATATGAGAAATACACCAGTCACACATTAACTTTAGGGGGAAACCCAGGATTTACAATGGGCTTCCTTGAGACTCATGTTGACTGTTTCTCAGCCTGGTCATGAGTGAATGCCATTTGCCCTGTCCTGGTCCCAACTGATCTGAAAGCAGTTTGAAAGACGCCATAGTCCCATGTGGTGCACTTATGTAGCATGAGGCATACCTGACATTTTTGTGGGCTGAAGAATTTTTAGGGGTAAGAGGAGGGGGAGTCCATATTTGGTTGCAGAAAATGTCCACACGTGCTTGACAAATGCTTTGGCATAACTACACAGACTTTCTCAAAATGATTCAGAACGCTTTGTTTGACATGTGAAGTTAATATTTCAATGCTATGATGGTACGATATCAATACAACAGTTTCCACAAAAACAAGCAAGTATGTGGCATCTGACATTTTTTCTGTTGTTGTTTTGCGTAATATGAATTTTTAAACAGGAATGAATGCCAAAATCAGTCATTATAATAAGAAGAACGTCTAGACACACTATTCAAGTGTGGCCCAGATAAAAATCTAAAATATACTCTTCCCATTGAGTTCATAGACTGTAAATATAAATGGACATAGCGAACCCACCAGCCGTCACGTTCCAAATAGGAAGTGAGTAAGGGGGCGCTTCCGACTCCATCCACTCCAGTTGGCTCCAATTGACCTCACACAGAAAGATCGTCACCCCTCTTTCAGTGCATTTTGGTCTTAACATTTTCATATTAACCCAGTCTACACAATCCTGGTGTTTTCATTTTGCTATTTTAAGTTTAAAATTTAAATAAATTTCAATTCCTAATATGTGAGCTTCATTTGGGTGACATCACACTCCCCTAGTCCAATTTTTTATCCAGTCTATGCTTGAAATCAGGGTTAAAACAAGGTAAAAGCAAATGTTGCGTGTTATTTCGTAATATAATGAATCACTGATTAACATTTACCTGACTAGACTTGACCAGATGTGTTTTATAGAAGATGCTTGAACAATGACCAATATTGGCCAGGTATTGAACAGCTGTTGATGTGCATCTGTTTTTTTGTGTTTAAAATAACAGTACGCCCTCTGCTGGTCTAAAAGTATGTTGATGCTATAGAATTAGGTATATTAAAATAAGTCAAAGGTGCAAGTATTTTTAATGATACATAGAGACATACACTATCGGTCAAAAGTTTTAGAACACCACGCTTTTTCCAGTTTTTTTACTGTTGACCAAAACATATTCTAAACTTTTGATTCATGAAAGTGTCCATCTTTGGCAGATATAACAGCTGAACACACTCGTGGCTTGTTCTTTTTACAATAGAAATCAAATATTCTTCAGAAAGGTCTGTCTGTTGCAGAAGTTTCCATAAATGTGTGGCACTTGTAGGTTGTTTCACTCTTCTGTCCTGTTCATCCCAAACCAGCTCCATGGGTTTAAGTCTGGAGACTGTGCAGGACACTCCATGTTTTTAAGTTTACCTTTGTTTTTTTTGTTGTTTTTTTGAGGTAGTTTTGTCAGAGCTTGGACATGTGTTTTGTTTTCATTTATCTTTTTTAACCTCTGACTGTCCAGTACTTACCTTTGTACCATTTCAAGCTCTTCATTTGACTTACACAACTTGAATTGCAATAAATAACTGGAAAAATCTGAGTGCTCTAAAACTTTTGACCGGTAGTTTACATAGTGTGGCGAGCGGGGCATCCGGGAGGGGTGTGAGGAGCACCCCAAAGTAAGATAATCAACATAAAACCAACAACGCCACTGGGCGTAGCCCAGAACTAAAACTAAATTTACTAAACTAAAAGGCTCACAGGTTCGTTAATTGACAGACAGAGACAAGTGACTTACAAAACATGAAATTATTTATTATTGCCATAATTCATTTGTTAGATTAACTTTAAGAGTAGACTATTCACTGTTCACATAACTGCCGATAACACAGTCACCAAAAGCAGCTGTACGGTGATTTTGTCCTTAAAATTAAAAACACAGTAAAACAAAGCAGCAGCTCGTTCACAGGGCCACCGCTCCACCAGATGACGTGCCGAAGACCACCCTGGACCCTAAAATGAACATTATATTTTATCTTTCACTTGGTGGTAGCCCCATACATGAACCTAAACCAATGACCAGCCAACGTACCACAAAACACACGCTTCTACATCCACGAGGCTTGACGCCGAGCGGCCGGGGCGTCTGACAGCAACACCGACCCAACCGTGGACAGCGGCTAACAGTGGCGCTTGTGGCGATCAACAGCAAATACATGCAGGACCTTTACTCACGAGCCATAACTTCGATCAGGCACGTCGAGACTCTAGGAGCGGTGGCACTACAATAAAGCCACACATTAAATTATAAAATTGTAATTAGAGAACAGCGGTTGTTTACCTGTGCGCGACAAGGCGGAGCCCTATCCCGGAAGTGCGCCGAGGTCAGAGAACGAGACGCTACGGGGAGTGCCCTTTTATAAGCCCAGGCGCCACCTGGTGGCAGAAGGCAGCAGGCGCGCACTGCTACAATAGTCCCTTATAAATGAGTTGAATACCAGACGCAGCATATATTGGGCATTTTCTCATAGTGCCATTCCCGTCTATCCTTCTCATTTCCTGTTTGAATCTTCATTTAATCTAATAAAACAGAATAATCCCCCAAAAGAACTTCATTATGTCAACATTCACATTTCCCATGTTAGTACACAGTGAGTCTGTTGTGTATTTTAGACCGTTGTGGTCAGTCAGATTCAGCTGTTATCTTACCTTTGACACATAAAACCACAGACACAGAAAACAATGTATTTTTGTACATCATCATCATGACAGCCTCAAAATAAATTTCCCCCAGAAATTTCAGAAATCAACCCATCCCTCAATGACACAGGGGCAACCTGTCAGGAGAAATACGCCCATTTCCAAACCTTGACCTTAGATGGAGAATTTTACCAGGGTACCAAACTAGTATGGCATCTGTTTTTTGTTTATTTTTCCATGGTGTTGTATGTTTTAGCCTAATATTGTTGTATGTTAGCTGGAACATTTTAAATATTGTGCATTTTGGGTTAATGGAAAAACTTAGACACGGAAACGCCCAGAATTTAACCTGGAATCCTCTTGTTGTGAGGCTTGTTTTTCTAATATGATTTGTTGTTTAATAATAGACTTAGACTCAGACTTAGACAAACTTTATTGATCCACAAAGAAAATTATTTGAACACAGTTGGTCACACATCACAATATAATATAATATTAAAGTGAAACTAAGTGAAAATATAAATGATAATAACACATTTTAAAATAAGTAACAAAAAATAGCAAGAGACAGGTTTCAAAACAAGACATAATTATATAAATGCAAATGTACAAGTCAAAATAGAATTGAAAGATAAAAAAGTAATAAAACATAAAACCTCTAAAAGTGATATGATGATCCATAGGGCATAGGGTTATCTGTTACATAAAGGTGAGTTGTTGTACAGTTGTAGGGAGTATTATCTGTTACATAAAGGTGAGTTGTTGTACAGTTGTAGGGAGTATTATCTGTTACATAAAGGTGAGTTGTTGTAGAGTTGTAGGGAGTATTATCTGTTACATAAAGGTGAGTTGTTGTAGAGTTGTAGGGAGTATTATCTGTTACATAAAGGTGAGTTGTTGTACAGTTGTAGGGAGTATTATCTGTTACATAAAGGTGAGTTGTTGTAGAGTTGTAGGGAGTATTATCTGTTACATAAAGGTGAGTTGTTGTAGAGTTGTAGGGAGTATTATCTGTTACATAAAGGTGAGTTGTTGTACAGTTGTAAGGAGTATTATCTGTTACATAAAGGTGAGTTGTTGTACAGTTGTAGGGAGTATTATCTGTTACATAAAGGTGAGTTGTTGTACAGTTGTAGGGAGTATTATCTGTTACATAAAGGTGAGTTGTTGTAGAGTTGTAGGGAGTATTATCTGTTACATAAAGGTGAGTTGTTGTAGAGTTGTAGGGAGTATTATCTGTTACATAAAGGTGAGTTGTTGTACAGTTGTAGGGAGTATTATCTGTTACATAAAGGTGAGTTGTTGTAGAGTTGTAGGGAGTATTATCTGTTACATAAAGGTGAGTTGTTGTACAGTTGTAGGGAGTATTATCTGTTACATAAAGGTGAGTTGTTGTACAGTTGTAAGGGAGTATTATCTGTTACATAAAGGTGAGTTGTTGTACAGTTGTAGGGAGTATTATCTGTTACATAAAGGTGAGTTGTTGTACAGTTGTAGGGAGTATTATCTGTTACATAAAGGTGAGTTGTTGTAGAGTTGTAGGGAGTATTATCTGTTACATAAAGGTGAGTTGTTGTAGAGTTGTAGGGAGTATTATCTGTTACATAAAGGTGAGTTGTTGTACAGTTGTAGGGAGTATTATCTGTTACATAAAGGGTGAGTTGTTGTACAGTTGTAGGAGTATTATCTGTTACATAAAGGGGAGTTGTTGTACAGTTGTAGGGAGTATTATCTGTTACATAAAGGTGGGTTGTTGTGTACAGTTGTAGGGAGTATTATCTGTTACATAAAGGTGAGTTGTTGTACAGTTGTAGGGAGTATTATCTGTTACATAAAGGTGAGTTGTTGTAGAGTTGTAGGGAGTATTATCTGTTACATAAAGCTGAGTTGTTGTAGAGTTGTAGGGAGTATTATCTGTTACATAAAGGTGAGTTGTTGTACAGTTGTAGGGAGTATTATCTGTTACATAAAGCTGAGTTGTTGTAGAGTTGTAGGGAGTATTATCTGTTACATAAAGCTGAGTTGTTGTAGAGTTGTAGGGAGTATTATCTGTTACATAAAGGTGAGTTGTTGTACAGTTGTAGGGAGTATTATCTGTTACATAAAGGTGAGTTGTTGTAGAGTTGTAGGGAGTATTATCTGTTACATAAAGGTGAGTTGTTGTACAGTTGTAGGGAGTATTATCTGTTACATAAAGGTGAGTTGTTGTACAGTTGTAGGGAGTATTATCTGTTACATAAAAGGTGAGTTGTACAGTGTAGGAGTATTATCTGTTACATAAAGGTGAGTTGTTGTACAGTTGTAAGGAGTATTATCTGTTACATAAAGGTGAGTTGTTGTACAGTTGTAGGGAGTATTATCTGTTACATAAAGGTGAGTTGTTGTACAGTTGTAGGGAGTATTATCTGTTACATAAAGGTGAGTTGTTGTACAGTTGTAGGGAGTATTATCTGTTACATAAAGGTGAGTTGTTGTACAGTTGTAGGGAGTATTATCTGTTACATAAAGGTGAGTTGTTGTACAGTTGTAGGGAGTATTATCTGTTACATAAAAGTGAGTTGTTGTAGAGTTGTAGGGAGTATTATCTGTTACATAAAGCTGAGTTGTTGTACAGTTGTAGGGAGTATTATCTGTTACATAAAGGTGAGTTGTTGTAGAGTTGTAGGGAGTATTATCTGTTACATAAAGGGGAGTTGTTGTAGAGTTGTAGGGAGTATTATCTGTTACATAAAGGGGAGTTGTTGTACAGATGTTGTTGTAGACTGCACACCGGCCAGTCAGCAAAGAGCTGTGAAGCCATGACGTTAAACTGGGTCCCTTTTGTGGTACAGCACAACAGTAAACAAAGTCGTCAAGACGGATGTAGACGAAGCCATGCATTCTGTGTTGGCAACGATTCCTGAGATTGAGGATTTAAAGCTGGAACAGAGAGAATGTTTGGTGAATTTTATCAAGGGGAAAGACGTTATTGCCCTTCTTCCTACAGGATTTGGGAAAAGCTTGATACACCAGTTAGCCCTGTTAGCGGCACATTACATACATCACGACCAAATAGCAGCAAATGGTTAAATCAAAAAGTACCTGCCTACCGTCAAGTGAATGAATCCAAATGCTGTGAGGTCAGACGGTTTCCAGGAAGTAATCAGGCTATGAATAGGTATTCATATATACATGATATATAGATGCTTTATTGATCCAAGAAGAAATTCAAAGTTCAGCAGCAGCACCATACAAACAAACATAGCAACAAGATATTTAAAGATGCACTATGAAACTTTTTGGCTGGGGGTCCGTCACCTGCTTGTTTTTATTGCTCTGCCTGGAATGTCCCACAGTATGACTTTAAACAGCCCTACTTGACGTTTATTCAATTACAGGTGGTTTTACTGCTCAAAAATACATAGAAAAACAAGCATTCTGACTGTGAGCCTGGTCAACTCTCTGCAGATCTGACCAGTAACTTGGCCTAGTTTGGTCTCCATGAAGATAGAAAGATTTAATGTCATACTGTGTAATATTCCAGACACAGCAATAACAACCCCAAGGAGAAAAGCATTTGAAGGACCCTCCTTCAAAAGCTGTATAATGCACCTTTAAAGTTTGCAGTCCATCCTCTTTTCTTTTCCTTTTTTTCATTTATTTATTTGAAGTTGAATTAAGCAATTGTCCATTCAATGTCATTTGCAGGCCAGAGTCAAAAGTCTGTTACCCAAGCAGACAGCGGGGCCTCTGATGAGCGAAGCAGCAGCAGCAGTATATGGTGGTATCTTTGAAGTGTGATGGAGGGGGATTTCCAAAAAACAGCCAGCCTCTCTCCCATCTCTCCCCCACGTCCTGTGCCTCGTCTCTGGGCTACGAGCTCTACCACCACCCCCTCCTCCTCCTCCTTACCCTCTGTCACTCCAAACTGACAGCTATTGTGTTGGCTCTGGCCTGAGTGGCTTTGGGGTTGAACTAGATATGCTAACGTGCGGCTTACCTCACCGGGGGGCTGCGATCCATTCTTCAGTTTTCCTCCTCCGGGGGGATGTAATATTTTCAGGGTTGCATCAGGGACTTTCATTGCTGTTTCGGTAATATTTCTCTCGCACACTATTGTATAAAGTTTAGGTTTGAGGCGAAAGATTTCCAGTTTGGACTTTGGTGACATTTTATATGAGCAAAGTTTGAAAACATCCCCTAGATCCTGGTATCGACTGATGAGATAAGACATGAAGAGATGTTTTCCATGAAGTGTGTGTTTTTGTATGATGTTTTCAAGTTTATCTAGACACTCAGAAAAATAAACTTTGTGGTAGCAACAAATTAGGCAATACATGTGATAATGTGAGAGAATACAGGATTACTCAATGTGATGTGATTGTGTGTGACCTAAACCACTGTAATTTTTGATGAGGAAACATGGTAGAAATTATACTATTACTACTATTTGAATAGGTTCTTCAGCAAAAACTGAACTGAAACTGTTTTTCTATTGTCTATAAAAGGTCGTTACACAAAATTTACTCTTGCACTGCATATTTCTAGATTTTAAAAGTTATATCAGGTTACTCATCTTGTTTTCAGATTTATTATGTACTTACTAGTTCAGAGACTGCTTCATTTTAGTCTAGAGGTAGTTTATTTGAAGATAATTTGTCAAGTAAAATGATATTGCTGCATGGACAGATAATTTCACTACTTTTAAGTCATTTTCTGATAGTGTTTATATCTTAACTTTTGGCCAAGCTTTTTTGCAGTGTGTGAGCTTTAAGTAATGTTATAATGCTGTTACCTCATCAAAAACATCATTTCATTCACACATTGGAGTTTGAGTAATCATTTATTATTAGTCTGTATTTCCAAAGTTCAAAATGATTCAAAGCTTCACCTTGATGTCATGAAGCTGTAGTTTTCAAGTGAGCAGCTACATTTACCTTTAGTTCAGTGGAGATTGACAATTCCAGGACTGAAGTGTGATTATCCAAATGACTCTAGTGAAGGTGTATGGATTAAAAACACAGGGGAACACTTTCGGTATTATATAACATCACAAGATGGAACAGAGTGTTTTTAGTTTGAGAGAAGAACTTCACCTAACAACTCCAGGTATGCTTTTGATGAGGAAATATTATAACATATATCAGAAAAAAAGCATAATATGGAACTTTTAAACATGTATTGAAAACAAAGGGTAACAAAAGACATCCAGGCAGTGATGAAAAGTAGTAAATAATAATAATAATAACATAAATAATGAAAAAGTCCATATTCAACCAGGCACTCTGATATGCCTTTATTATGTGTTAACCTGAGCCCCAAAGGGTTAGGGTAGGTCTTGTCTTTAATAGTAAATAGTAAATAGTCCTCTAATAAGAATAGCTTGTCTTATTGAGATAGTTACAAACTTTTTTCTTCTTTCAAGGTAATGATGGTATATATTTATTTATTTATTGCATTAAATAATATGGCAGTATTCAGTAGTTTGGACACACCTAGTCTATGCATATATTTGTTTTACCCTTTACAAAGTGGCAGGCCGACCTGACACGAGTTTAGAAGGTGCATTTTGTGATCTTCTATTTAAAGTAGTCCAAACACCCCCCTGTGTTTGTGGTTCGCACCTTTGGTAAACCAGGGAGTCTACACTATCTTCCACTGCAGCTAAAAGAGTACAAAGGTTACTGCTGTGGTTGTCGGTATAGCAAACACTTAAAAAAATATACAGTTAAAAAAAATAAAATAAAAAAGTATATTTGTATTTTTGGATACATTTTATATATGCATTATGTTCTGAAACTTCTGACTAATTTGAATTTTAAGAATAACAAAATTAACAACAATTTAACTTAATCAAAAACGTACTTGAAGTTGTGCTCTATTTTGTTCATTCACTGCTGATTGGTTACAGATTTGACCCTTGATTCTCTTCATTGGAAACTTATTTTTCCCCTTTGTGGTATTTGCAGGATATCTTTCATCTCTATTATACAACTAGCATGTTAAAAGGTGCATTGTGTAACTTTTCGGGTCACTTGCTTGTCTCAGTGGAGATGTTACTGTTTTACATGGATGGTTCCACAACATTGGAGTAAACCTATTAGACTTAGACGTCAGCAAACTTTATTGATCCACATTGGAAAATACATATCTAAATATATATGTTCAAAGAAAAGCAGGTGACACCACTAGGCCAAGTTACAAGTCATATCTGTGGAGATGGGTCCCCACTCAGAACCAATGCATGAATAATTTAAACATCTGCAATTGCAATGCCTTTGAACATTCCTGGCAAAGCAACAGCATCTTCATGGAGACAAGCAGGTGCCGTATACCCTCCACAAAAGTTACAGAGTGCATCTTTAAAGTTTCGATGTCAATGCATTCAAAAGTTCAGCCTGGGCAAAATGTTTATAGGCATTAGTTTCATTATTAATACTTTGCAGTGACGTCACGCTGTACTGCCTGTATGCTTATAGGGTGGAAAATTCAGCAGTTACAATGCATACTTTAGCAAATACAGTCAAAAAAGTTTTAAGATAGATATAAACAAAACAGTTTCACTAGACTGTGAAAAATGTTCAACATAAAAGGTGAGAGAGATTAACTGTGAAACTGGATTGTGACTGTGTGACTTGTTTAACAGCACACATCACAAACATCACACTTACTTCCATCTTAGTCACCTCTTTCTGGTCTGATTGCATTAAAACAAAGCCCAGGTTAAAGGCTAAACTTGACTAACAGACCTTCAGACAGAGCAGTGTCTACAGTTAGCTTCACGCCCCCAGAGAATATTGATGACGTCAGCTGCAAAGTATGAAAACACACATACTTGTCATTCTACAAATGCCCCACCAGCCCAGCTCTCACACCCAGCTAACACGCATTGTCTGTGGGTACATTGGCCCTGTCACGCCCCGTGTCCACACGCACCCGCAGCTCTCACATCTGACTGTCAAAAACAAAGCAGGACTAATACACTTGAGCTGAGCCCTGGAAAGTCCCTGGCACGGCACTTCCTGTTAAACTGCTACAGGTGCCATGGCAACGCAGGCGGCTGACCTCTGAACCCTGACCATGTTTTTGCAGCATGTGCAAAGAATTAAGATCAGCATATATTTGAATGTAGAAAAATAAACAGAGTGAATAGTTTGAGCCATATGTGCTGCAAAGTGCAAAGTCTCGGTTGTGTTTTTCTGTTCATTTTGGAATTCAACCTGTAATGTTAGACTTTTAAATCACATAAACTACACCTTCACTTGAATCATTTGGATAATTTGGATCATTTCTACTCAGCTAAAGGGTAACTGTTAACTTGAAAACTATGGCTTCATGATGTCACAAAGTGGAAAAGAGCATTTAAAGCTTTGGAGACTTAAACAGACTAATAATAAAGAGTTACTCAAACAAGTGTAAATTAAACAAAACACAACTCCAGGTCTGTTTTATACATTATAACATGGCTTAAAACTCACAAGAGTCAATTTAGCGTAATATAGAACCTTTAAGAACGACAGGACCTTTAAGAATGTTATGACCAGTCGTGAACAGATGCTTTATAGGTCAGAAATAATTACAGTAATTAGTTTAATCATCTGAATGGTTTTAACTGCTGCTAATTATTATAACAGGCCAATTGTAACACATTTTGCTCTAACTACACCACAAATGTACCATGAACCTAATCTGCAAAATCA